CCAGTCCCAGCTGCACGAAGCAAGGAACCACTCCCCACGCCCAGCTCCAGTGTCCTGCTCAGTGGCACAGAGATCCGCAATGACACTCACCCCAGCTGTAGGTGGGGGCAGAGTTGGAGGGCGAGTGTGTGTTCTGGAAATCATCAATCATCTCCCAGCCTTGGGTGGTGCCTTTCAAGACTCAGCCTGTGGGCCTGAACTCAGCTGTCACCTGGCTCTGTTACAGGGACAGGAAGGTGACTGGAGAGGTGGACTTGGCAGTCAGCATAAAAGGGGAAAGGGGGCTAAACTGCCCACCACCCTGTCCCTTGCTAGTCAAAGGCACAGCTGGCCTTGTGGGTTTAAAACCTCTGGTGCTGTTGTATTCATCCCAGCAAGAAAACGCTGGAAGGTCAAGATGTGCCAGTGCTGGCAGGGATTTAGTTCTTCCCCACCTTTTAGCTTTAGCCTTGTTTGAAGACCCACTGTTTTAGGGCACCTCTGTGCCTTTGCAACCAGCAGCCAACGTTTTAACAGTCTGTTGGAAAATCAGAACCTGCTGGTACAACCTGAGCTTAGAAGAAAGTTACTGCCAAAAGAGGTGGCACCATGTTATGGCTGAGAATACAGCATTGAGCCTCTGCCAGGGCTCAAGTGTTTTTCCATCTCTAAGTCTCAATTTCCTTACCTATTAAATGGCACCAATGCCTTGCACAGCTAGAAGGATTCAATATGATAATGCACAGAAGACGAATATCAATGCCTACTGTGTGTGCACGGGTGTGCGCATGCATGTGTGTACACATGTGCATGGGAGTGAGAAAGTGTTCATTGTGACTTAATTCATCCTTCTGATGTCACCAGGCACTGTGCTGGACCCTAGAAATGAAGAGATGAATGAAAACTTTGCCCTTGGGGAACTCTCAGTCTTCAGATAGATGCTGAGAAGCAGACAGGCCACCCTGGTATTGCAGTAACAGGGGCCAAGTGGACGACAGAGCAATACAGCTAATCTTACACAGGGACACAGGGAGATGAACACAGAAGGATTGTGGGGGAGATTCCAGGGAAGGGGAGTGGACAAAGGCCACCCAAAAAGGGCCCAGGGAGGAATGGGATTCCAGAAAGAAATGACAGCCAAGTGGAGCACTCCTAACCTGTCCCAGGGACTTGAGGGAGCTCAAGAGAGCAGGGACAGGTATGCACTGCTGAGGCAACCTAGGTCCTGTTTCCCATCTGGTTTCCTAGGGCGAGTGACACCAGGGATGACTGACAAATGTCAAAGTGTGGGCATGAGACTTAGCAGACCACATAATGAAAATATTGTATATTTGCCTATCATACTCCCCACCCATTCTGTGGACCTCAAGGAGCTGCCAGATTCAGGAGGGCCATGGCAGTCCTGGCCAAGACAGGACTTACCTACAGGGGATGGGACAGTGCTAGACAGAAAGGGCGGAAGGGATGGGGATGAAGTGGACCCTCCAGAGCTAAGTCATTCTAAAAGCAAAATCAGAAGAAGTAGCTTCAGCTAGGGCTTATAAGAAGTTACATGGCTAAGATGCAAAACTGTGCCTTGATTGGCAGGTTCCTGCTGAGGGAGATGCTAGAGTTTAATAAGCCCAGACACCTGTTAGTCTGCTGCCTGTTTTGTAAAATGCGTATGTGACAGTCGCTACAAGCTGGGTACTCCTCGGCTGCTCTGGAACCAGGCTCTGCTAAGGGTTGCAAACTCAACTGATGGCTGAACATCAAGAGTGAATTGAAAACAGACCTTCGAGCCTCTTGGATGGGGGAAGTGCCACAGATCCAAATGTCCACACCAACACAGCTCAGTTCGCTCTATAACTGGAAAAAAGCACTAATACCAACCTCAGTTAGCTGCTGGAAAGTTTACACCAGTCCCTGTTCTTAACAGTGAACAGAGATGGGCAACACGGCCAAGGCTGCATAGTTGGGAAATGCTGAGCTGGATTTGGACCTGGGTGGGTGTGCCTCCAGGCACTGTCCCAGGGTTCTGCCAGGAGCCCAGGAAGCCTAGAGTAGGGGTGGGGGTTGGGGTGAAGGGCTACCCTTGACAGCTCTGCTCAGGGCCCTGCAGAGTGTGACAGGGGACACTGCTTGATGGCAGAAGAAGAAACTGGTTTGCAAGCTTAAGCAATATGCATGAGAAATAGCAACATGCAGATCCTGAGAGCAACGTTAATTCCTCTGATGTGTGACCCTGATGCTTATTTGTACCATAAATGCATAGTATGCTGCCGAGGATGCAAATTAGATGAAGTTGTTTGGGGAACACCAGGTAGCACTGCGTGGTGCTTCTGGAGAAAATGGTCACATGGCAACAATACTCGTGTCACGGGGGAAAATGAAGGATGTGAGCACGTGGCCCCTCTCTGTGGGCTGGCACGTGTAAGATTTGTTGATTAGCATAATAGCTCATGTTGCTGTGCTCTGGCTCTGGGGGAATCTTCTGGAGAGGCAGCCTCCCTCTCCTGCTGAGCCAGAGTTTGGGCCATTAGTGGGCCAACTGCCTCTGAGAGTTGCTAATCTTAAATGCAGAATCATTAATCCTAAGTGCAGAATGGGTTACAAATTGAGTTCTGGACTCATCTACTGGACAGTACACTTGCCAGCTCAAGTGCGGGTCACCCAGTGCTTATGTTGTCATTCACTTGATCTCATCTGTCACATCCTCCCCTACTAAAATACAAGCTCCAAAATATAAGCCACTTGGTCACAGCCGCGCCCCCAGTCCCTGGCAGGGAATGGGTAAATACTGACTGAAGGAACCAATGAGGAAATGAGCAGCTGAACAGTAACCCAAGCATCCGAGGCTACAGCAGTATCACCTCTGAGCCTCTCACTGTCCGGGGGGACAGTACCTCCTAGGGACTGGCTACTGTGGTCCCACCACCCTGGGCTGTCCTACCTGGCTTGACGGGTGCCCCTCCCACTGGAAGGTGAGTCCTTTAACAGCCTAATCGTGTTTTCTCACCTGTGTATGCCCAAAGATGTACGATGGGAGATTACTGTAGACCTCTTCTAAGACAGGACTGTGACCCCAAGAGTATGTGGAAAGGCTGCTGTCATCATCACCCAGGGCCAGGGTCCTCTCTGCCAAGCCACACTCATGCCAGCTTGACTTATTCCAGTGGGTTGGTTACTTGCAAGTGTCAGTGGCCCTTTGTGTCCTTATGGGTGCATTGGACCTCTCTAGCTGGCTGGAGCGCCCAGCAGGGATCCAGTTTGGGAAGGGGTCTCTTCAACTAAGCACATATTTATGAAGGGGGTGTCAACCTCACAGGACACAAACTGGTGGGCTTTCTCATCTCCCAGTGCAATCTGAGATGCTAAGGAATGAATTTTAAGGCCTACCATGGACAATTCCAAATCACAGCATTGGTACAAACCAGTGAGGGACATGGGTCAGACGTGACATTAGGTTATTAGGGTCTTTTCAGAAATAATACCAGATCTTTCAGTTCCTCACAGACCCACAGGTATGATTAACCATCTTAAGCTAGCAATGCTTTTGTTCCCAGAACAATGCTGTCAGAGTAGAAGTGTGTGAGAGTTTCACCCGTGTGGAAACAGAGTCGGGGAGGGGTGAGAGATAGTGAGAGAGAGGTGAGAGGGAGGAACACACCAGTCTGGGCTCTTGCTGTGATTCTCAAGCACGATTCTCAGGCATCCATAGCAGGTGCTTCTCCTTGTATAGGTGCTTGGGAAAGATGCTCCTGGCAAGAAGAGATGCTACAGGGAGCCTTAAGAGGCTGTGTCTGCTGTCCAGTGAGTACTCAGCGCCCAGAGAAAAGGACCTGGCCACCACCTTTGATCTGTTCCATCTTCCTAGGAAGGGGTCATCCAGCCTTACGGCAACCTGCTCATCCCTGAAGTCCAGCATACTCTGATGGACCAGGTCACAGAGTCATGTGCATGAGGGACACCACATGTAGCTCACCGGGGGCAGCTATGACAGTAAGCAGCTTTTGGGGTTCAGCTGTGCTATCATTTTCCTCACCTTGAATGGACAATGCTGGTATCCTTTGTGATTCACTCTTGATCAGAAAAGATGGATTAGTTTCTTTTAAAAATCATAGAGAGCTCTCCACTGTATTCTGAAGTAGGACTCTTAACAATATGGTTTGTGTCTAGATGGCCCCCCGAAAGCCTCATGTGATCACAGGGTTTTTTAAGAGGTGGTTAAATATAGTGTGTGATGCAGGGTTTAAGGGTGTGTGATCAGTAAATCAGCCTACCAACTGGTTTGGCTAGTTCTGGCTAAGATGAAGCCAGTAAGTGCTATATGAGCAGCCTTCAATATAAGGGACAGAAAGAGTCTTGTCTCCTCTCTCTTGTTGCTTTTGCTGTCTTCTGCCATGAACTATTGCCCTCTGCCATGTGCCACTCTGCCTTGGAGTCAGCCAATTATGGACTGAAACCTCTACAAACTGTGAGCTAAATAAAACTTTTCCCCTTTAACTTTGGGTGTCAGGTTTTTGTCTCAGCAATGGGAGAAAAGTAACTAAGACAGTTATAAAGAGCGGTTCATATTTCTTCCTGGAAGGGAAGCACATTTTTCATCTTCAGTGAAAGGACAGAGTGAACCCAGAGAAATGTACCAGGGAGGTGGCTTTTTAAAGAGTGCCTATACCAGGCAGAGGAAACCGACTTCATAAGTCTTTTATTGCTTCAAGCACCTCACAAGTGGCCTGAAAGAGTGCAAGAGAGTTTTGTGGGTGGTTCTGCAACATCCTTCCCGTTTTTATGTCTTTCCATCAATAGACATTTATATTTATTCATATATCAGGCTCCATATATACCACTGTGCTCCTGTCAATAAAACCTGGCTGCACTTTTTTAAGTGAGTGTGGTCATAGGTTAAGTGCAAGGCTGGTGGACGCCAGTCTTCTGCCTCAGGTCCTCTAGCCCTCAGTCCTGAGTGCCTCCGAGCCTTGCAACTGCTCCCCTCATGATGCCCCATTATTCTGACCACCAGCAGACAAGGTGCCCCTTACCTCTCAGCTGCTGGAAGCAGGAGGCACTGCTGTCTGGCTCCAGGGGATGCCGCAGGACCCCATTGCTGGGCTTGGGCCTCTCATATTCTCTTTCGGGGAGCATGGCCTGCTCGCTCTCCATGGCGGGGTCTGTGTGTGGAGGCAGGGACTGTGGGAAGCCGAACATCAAGAGGGAAGAGAAGAAGAGTAAGGCACCGCAGAGCAGAAAGCCGCCCCACCAGGCTCCGATCCAGCGGGGGTCGTCCGGAGTGATGTCCAGGTTACCTGCAGAGGAAAGAGCACACCTCAGTGGAGCGGGACCTGGGACGGGGCCTGTGGAGATTTGCTGAGGACTTGGATCTGCTGCATGGAGAATTCAAGGGCTCCAGGAACGGACTGGGGTGGGAGGACTGGGCATCAGGCTAGGAAACCTATCTGTTCTACATCAGTGCTCCTGTTTCTCCCAAAGCTGGAGACTGATCACGTTCCTGCTTTAATTTTCCTGTCTGCCCTGGATTTATATCAGTCTAAACAAAAACAGTTTGAAGCCAGACAACCTCTGGATTTAAGTTGAAATTGGCTGGCTTACCAATGCTGCCGAGGTGTGCTTTTGGAAACACAAGGAAACATTTATTGTCCAAGGTGCAGTCACTCTCATCTCCCCCAAAGGAGCTAATCTAAAATCCCATTCAACACCCATTCTCTGTCTTAAATCAGACTCACTGCATAAAAGGACAGGTACAACACGGAGGTCAGGAATACGAAGATGGACCTGATAAACACCCAGGCTACCTGGGTTGAAATCCTGTCCCTTTTCTCTGTGGGACCATAGGTCAGTATTTGAGTCGTTGATGGCTTTGATTACTGATCTATACACCACTGACCAGGAAGATAGTGTTTACCTTAGTCACTGAGAAGATCATACGAACCACCCCAGCCATACGCACTCAGGAAAGTGCCTGACATGTGCTTGAGCCTTGGGTGGAGGTAGCCTGTTAGTGATGGCTGCAATCCTCTACTTTCAAGCTAGTTCAAATCTTGTTGGTGGTCTGTGGTTTGGCACCAGCCCTCTTTCAAAAAGTTTTGCAGCCAACTCGCGTGTACAGGCACTATGCATGTGGTTTGCTAGCTTGTACTCTTACTTCTTGGATTTGCCAGCTGAAGCCATGGCAACATAACCTACAGCTTGCTTCTTGATATGTTCCCTTCTTTGTCTATACAGCTTCCCTGCAAAGCAGCATTCCCAGATGAGCTGCTTAGAAATGGCTCTTGAATGATAAACGATACTCCTGGAGCCCACAGGAGATTCTTGGAGACCTGGGAAATAGGGTATGAGTTAAGACCAACAGTCCTGTGGGCCTGGACTGGATGGATGGACACCTCTGGGAGGAGGAGGGACTGCAGACACCAGATGAATGTTCCCCACTTATAAAATGCACTCCCTTAAGACTCTTCAGCCAGCATTAATGATAATGCCACTATCATTTATGAAGGGCTTTCCTCTGGGAAGGCAATATGCAGAGCACGTTCTCAGCTGTCACAGTCCAGGTTCCCTGCAACACTACACAACTCAGGGGGTTTCATGATTCTTATTTTGCATAGATGGGAAAACAGAGGTTAAGTTCTTTGTCCAGGTTCACAGAATTGAAGACCAACACAGCCATTTATTTGCACGCTAAGGCTCACACTCCTTTGCAGTGTTCTCTGTACCCTCAAGGTAACGATGAATGTGTGCCTTGGGCAATGTACCTAAGATGAGAAGCTCTTCTGGTAGGTGGAAAGTTGGCTTTGGAACACCGCTCTCTGCCCTGGAGACTCTGACATAGGCACAAGCCACAGGACTATGAAGGACCAGAAGTTTTAGTGTAGCTGTACTCTGGAGAAGAGTGCATGTGAGCCTCAGAGGACTTGGGAGTGATCTCTGATCTCTGCTGCTCTGCCCCTGACCAGCCTTTCCACTCCATGAGCCTCAGTGTCATCATTTGCAAAATAAAGACACCACCCCTTTAGAGTAGCTACAGGGAGGACAGATAATGAGCCAGTACCCTGACTCCTGGTTGATTTTTCATTTATGGCAGCCCTTGGTATTTTTATGATTTTTCATATGTCAACAGGAATACCAATGGATGGATGGCTTTCTTTTAATAGGGTCTGGCATGGAAAATACATGAAGATCTTGAAAGCACCTTTATACAAATGACAGATAAGAAAGGGAAGTAAAATTGCCTCAGGTAGCTGCTTAGGAGTATTTTCACCGTGTTTCTTTACCTGATGCCAAACAATGAATGGCAACAAAAGCCAGCAGAAGGCAGCTTGGCATCTCCCTCCATTGTATACCAGCTCCACAAAGGCAGACTGAAGAGCAGGCTGATGTGAGCCAGTGAAAGGAGAGAAATCCTAGCTGTTGGGAGGAACAAAATTAGTACCCTGTAGAAAGTCACAGGCAGTTAGTGACTCTGCTCTATGTGTGAGTAAACATCCCAGGGAGAGGGCTGTGGTGGGAAAGGCAGCTGTTGTTTGTGTAAAGGTGTCAGCTCACTTCCTGGAGGTGTGTGTGTGTGTGTGTGTATGGGTGGGGGGAGGTAGATGTTGAAAGCCAGGACAGAGTATGCCACTGAGCCAGAACCAAGAGACACCTGATACCTGAGCAGGACCTGCAGAGCGGGGAACTGAAGACAGGATTCTGCAGATCCAGGAAAACCACTGTTGGCTCCTTGGGAGGATATTGATTTCTCCACTACATTTCAGTGATCCTGCGCAGCGTGGCAGCGTGAAACTCCTCAGTGCTGGAGTGTGCTACCTCAGAGGCAGGGAGGCAAATCTAGTCTGAGAAACTTTTTTTCTCTACCTCTCTCTACAAGAGACAGTATTTTTATGAGCCATTGCAGCTAGTTACAACGAAAGTCTCCCTCCACTTGGCCGGCAGTTGTGAATGCCTGGCATAGAATGTTCCAGAAAGACCGAGTTCTCCATGTCCACTGGCAAAGAATGGTGTGGCAGAGGTCACCAATGTCAGCATTCGGATTCTCTCTTCTTCTGGGAACACAGAGGACTACACCTCCCTCACTTTGGGAAGTTCAGTGTGGCTGTGTGCCTGAGTTTTGTCCACGAAAGGCAGAGTTGTGTCACTTCTTTGTGAAGTATGTATGAGACTGTCCAAGTTCCTTCCTTTTCAAAAGATAGTGCCTACAGGTTACACAATGAACAAAATAACCCCCAGTGGCCTGCACTGAGGACCTGGGCATGTTTGTTACTGTAGCGTGATGTACAGCTGCCAGAAAGGCTTAGGAAACATTCATTCCTGCTCTGTAACCATAGTGGTCCCAGAGGGGTTGGGATTGTTTTAGGCACAAAAAGCAAACAAGCCTTGAAAACTTCCTTCTTTTTTTCTTTTAATCTGGCTCATAGCTTGACTTTTTAAAAAAATCACCGCAGTCCCAGGCTTAGAGAATGCTGCCGTGTCAGTGGGATGGCCAGAACAAACCTGAAAAGCACTGATCTGTCTCATTCACTGTGTCATTGAATTGACAATGAAATCAGACACATGGACGCTGAGAGATGTTGAATACAGTAGGGTCAAGATCTCTGGCTCATGGGGCAGCCTGCGCAAAGGCAGGACATCCTCAGGGACCTCTGAGGGGACAGGGGAGCTCCTCTCACCACATGTCTGTTCCTTGGCCCTTTCAGACATTGGAAAATGTGCTGCTTCACTTTGGGGGCAGTTTAGGAAGGAGCACAAAGGGAATAGAGTGGAACAGGAGAGCTGCCCACTGCGGGGCCATGAGGGATCCTCTTTGCCCCGAGGCCAGACACAATGGGAGCTGTCTTTGCCTAGGTGTGGACGGGCATAGAAAAGGCCATTTGTACAAGATCCACTTGTGTATCCCTTCTGCTTTAGCAGCTGACTTCTGGTTTATCTCTGTGGTTTGCTTGTTGCATTGGGTAAACAGAGCAAGCTATTCACATCCATTGGCTTCCTCTGTGGAAGGCAGGCGAACAAATGGGACTCATTGAGCTTTGTATTCATTTCCCAGGTCAAAGAAAAGATCACCCGGAAGAAGAGTAAACTAGTTTTAAACTTACCAACTGCTCTACCCAGGAGGACATCTGGGATCTTAAGAAGAGCAGGTCAAACCAAATTGGGGATATTTGCTTCATTTTCCTTAGCCATTCTAATGTGTAAGAGCCACTATGGCTCTCTGGGCAATTATTTTTTTAGTTCATTTACCTATTTTTTAAACCTATTTTATCAAAGTTTTGCTGTGGGACTCAAGAATTCCAAGAGTATCATTAAGTCACAGACCTAATTAGAAACTAGAGGGGCTGAGTGTGGAGGGCCGTGGAACATCCATCTAGGATACCAGCCGTTGGGCTAATTAGCCTGAACTGGAGGGATCTGGCAGCAGCATCAGCCCTGCAAATGAAAGAGCAGGAGGGCTCTCAGCTTGCTGACCTTTTATAGGAAGTAAGCAGACGGCTTTGTCTCACTCCAGCTGCAAACACCATGCTGTTGCCTGTAGGGCCAGCTGGTTTGAGTCTCAGCACAGGCTGCTGAGGTCAGGCCACTGCAGCAAAGCCTCTGTCCAAGAAAGGGGGCAGTCTGCTGGCTAACTTCCGGTTTCAGGGGCTGAGGCAAGAGTGAGCCTTTAGGGTCACACAGGGCTGGGGTTGAATTCTTGCTTCTTCCCTTGCCAGCCATGGAAATTAGTTAACCTCTCCAATTCCTCATCATACCAAACGTTTATTATGTGCTTAGTGTACGGCAGGTACCATCTTGAGTGCTTTGCATGATTAACTATGTCATCCACACATGAATCCATGAGGAATAATGTCCCCAGGATCACAGAGCTGGTAAGGGGTACAGCTGGATTCCTGAGGTCTGCTTCCAACGCCTGAGCTCTTAATTGTGTGTGACAGTCCCTCATCTAAGAGCTGATCCTATGTTCTCATAGCGAGGTTCCAGGATCCCACTGAGACATCCATGATCAATTTAATCTCCCGCTGCTCCTAATCTTCTCCCACTACTAAATGCATGGGTTAAGGCTGGGCAATTCATCAATCAGGGTACACTCTGCCAACAAGTCTTTTTTTTCAAGGTCCTGTTTGTGTTTGAGCTTCAACTGTACAAAGACTTTCTAAAAGAGAAATTCCGGAGGTGCCATCCTTTCTTCCTCTTCCAAGAATAGAGGGATCTATTCTTGCATGGAGCAAAGGGAGCGACATGGGGACCAAACACAGATGACAGACGATGGTTGCAGCATCCTGTGTCTAAGTACAGACATATGAGGAGCAAAGGAGTGGCCCCTCCCACACAGTGGCCCTTCCTGCTGCAGGCTCCGTGCGCTTCCAGCTGCACCTGTCCACAGACTGCAAGCAGACCTGGATGCTCCAGCACTGTCTGGCTTTAAGGAGGAAGAAATGTTCTTTCCCCCACCTGCCCAACAACAAGGGCTCATTATGAACCTGCTTTGCTGCCTCTGCACAAATTCTAGCCATTGCCTTTCCTGGTCCCCCATTCATAGCCAGAATTTCAGAAACAGGTGGCTATGTGCACCACCCCTGATGCTCATGCTGTCCATGGCAGCCTGTTCGCTGGACAGCATTGGTCAACACTGAAGAAGTCTGTGTTAAGTAGGTGAGGCAGAGCCCAATGAGTGCAGAGCACCCTCATCAAAATACAGCCAAAGCTCGCTCAGAGGTGATGAATTTGAGCCACAGGATTAGAAACCACAAACATTGCTGGAAACTATAGTGGGTTGCGGCTGAATAAAATAGATGATGTTTTTCTGCCCTCTGCTGGTGATCAGCAGTACAGACCCTCAAGCACATCAGGAAGGAGCGGAGACTATGACTCAAAAGGTATCCTGGCCTCCCTAGAAGCAAAGTGGGAAGTCAGCTGCCTTCTTGGGAGTGGAGAAAGGGGCTAGCAGTGAGATGCCCAGGAAGACAGGAAATGCACCCCTCTGTCTACATGCAGGGAGGCTCCCAACTGCCACTGAGTCCGGAACTACGGAAGGGGTCACTTCAGAACCCAGAGACGCTGAACAGAATGGGATAGAAATGGCCCTGGGGACTGTGAGTGGACACTCTCAGCACCCAGCCACAAGTCCACCCTTTGTTCATTTTGGCACTGAGGGAAGATGCTACTTCATTCTCAGGTGAGGAAATCTTGAAGTGGAAATCCCTGCACGCTGGCTCTGAAGAGCCGAGCTTTGTACAGAGCTCCTTGGACTGGCAACTCCCCTTCCTTTCTGGGACTCAGTTTCCTCATTGGCAAAATAAAAGAAGTAGAAGGGAGTGATGTCAGAGGTTCTCTCTCATTCAGAGATCAGAGATGCTGGTCACTCACAGACTCAGTTCAAGGGGCCAACACTGATCTGCTGATGGAAAAACCCACTGCCCAGCCACTTCCCTTTCAGCATAGCCTCCCACTCTGCTAGGGGACTCCTCCTCCATGTCTCTTGCCATCCCTGTCCTATGCTGTCTCTGGTGCAGCAGTGCAGCTGGGTTTTCTGTTTGCATAAACAACGTGGTGGCTGCCTTCTTTCACCAGTATGTCCTGCTCCCTAGGAGCGGGCTCAAAGGGGCAGCCAGCTGCTGGAAAACAACACCATCCAATCGCCTCCTGAACAGAGCCACCATGCTACAAGAATAAATAAAGAAGGCTGCATCTGATTTTGTTTTCCACTTGAAAATCTGTAACATCATTAGCTGCCAGTAAATATATCAGTGGGATTAATGGAGTGAATCACAAAGCGACTTGATTGGATTTAAAACCACATTATTTCTTTGGGGTGAATTAGTAAATTTAGCACTGTCGTGAGATGATGGATTGGGAACCCAGGGACTGAGTGTTCTTATTGATCCTGAGAACAGATCAGCAGGAGAAGCTGCAATGGCTTCCTGTCACCTTTTCAAAAAAGAAAGGAAATGTGGCTTTGCTACTTGTTGGGCTATGAAGAAATGCAGTGTTCTCTGCTAGGCATGCAATACTAGCATTGTAACCACGCATGGCACATATTTAAATCCTTATCTAAATTGGGTGTCAGTTGTGCATGCCTGTAATCCCAGAACTCTGGGATGCTGAGGCAGGAAGATTAGAAGTTGAAGCCCCAGCTGGGCAACTTAGCAATTTAGTGAGTCTCTGTCTCAAAATAAAAGTAAAAAAAAAAAAGGCTGGGGTGAAAGTCAACACAAAAACTGTGGGCTCAATACCCAATATCGCAAAAAATCCTTGTGTAATAATCCTTCTCCTTGGCAGGAGACCTCAACAAAGGAGTGGCCTTTTTTGGTGAACTATATGCAGAAACCTTCATGAGAAGTCTTTTCTGGAGATTATAAAAGAGATTCTGAATGGCTCCTGTCTCTGGTGCCTTCTCTCATAGTCGCCTGTGCTGTTTGCTTTAGGTAAATCCAGCTGAGAGAGCCCCACAGAGTATAGAAGTAGACCTTCAAAGCCCTGCCAGCACCACAGCTGTGAGCTTCCAAGCAGATCCTCTCCACTGGGCCTCCAGATGTTGCATAGCAGGCTGACAGCTTGACTGTGGCCCCTTAAAAGACCTAAGCCAGATCACTAAGCTGCAGAACAAGCTGTTTTCACTCACTAAGGATAGGGTCACTTATTTTGTAGCAAAAGAAGAGTGATACAACCATGTGAGTATCTTTGGCAAGGAAACAGGAGTAAAAACAATGTGTGTGTGTGTGTGATTTCAGGCACAAGTCTCAACTTTGAAGGATAAGTGTGCAACTCGCCACGGATTTGCTTCCTGCCATGGCATCTGTGCAAGATGAGGTCAGGATGGAACTTCTATGAGCCTGGGCTCTAAAGAGACCATAATAGGCCATGTCCCATGATCCTCAGTATCACCAATGTGTGTCAGAGAAGTAGTGCCACCAAGAAATAAACTTCAATTGATTATAATTACTCAGACTTGGGGATGTTTTTCAGCACAGCATGACCTTGGCTGCTTGAGTAGTACACTGTTCAATCCCAGAACCATGGACTGTGGATCCCGTAGCAATCTGGCAATATATCCAGTCTTCTTGCTAAGATCATGTAGGTTCTGTTTAAGATAATTTTGAATGAATTACTAAAAATAGCCCTGAGGTAGCTTGGCCTTAATTTACAGGTGGGAAAATAGATTTGAGGAGTGAAATCAAGCATTCAGAGTTACTCACCTCTAGACAGAATTGGGCAGAACCTGGGATTGAGTGCAGGTGCCATGAACCCACACTCATGTTCTTTCCAGTCATCTCAACTGGTCGCCAGCTACAGAGGTAGCAGCACTAAGGCTTCCTAGAGTTTGGATCTTAAATGTCCTTTAAAGGCCCCTGTGCTCAAGGCATGGTTCCCAGCCTGTGGTGCTCCTGGGAAAGGGTATGGTTTCAGGAGGTGTGGCCTATGGAAAGGAAGTTAGGTCTTTGGGTGTGAGCCCATGAAGGGGAGGATGTGCACCCTAACACCTTCCTCTCTTCAGTTGCTAGCTGCCATGAGCTTAGCACCTTTGCTCCATCACACATATCCCATTCCTACCATGATGTGCTGCCTTGCTGTAAACCTGAAGGCAGCAGGCCAATTTGCCATGGACTGAAACCGCTCAAACTGTGAGCCAAAATAAACATTTTCTTGCCTTTTTATTGAGACAGGATCTTGCTAAGTCTCTAAGTTTCACAGGCTGGTCTTGAACTTGTAATCCTACCTTAACCTGTTATTAGAGGGCTGGGATTACAGGCATGTACCACTATGCCCTGCGTTTTCTCTTTTAAGTTGATCTTCTGAGATATTTGTCACAGGGATGGAAAGCTTAGTACATTTTAGAATCAAGTACGTTGAAGCTTCCTTTATGAGAGAGGAAATGCTTATAGATGATGGGTAGACATTGAGATCTATTCCTTACTTGTGTCAATGAAGACTGCATCCACATAGATTTTGGTACAGAAAGAACCCAGAATAAATCCACAGGCTGGTCCAAATACCAACATCGTGAACAGGATTCCTGAAAGAAGATGAAAAGTTAAATTAGAAAAGAGAAGACCTTCTGGAAGCAAAATCAGCAAAGATCAGGATTATTTTATATTGATCAGTTAAGATGTTTGATTGCTACAAATGAAACCATGGGAATAAATCTAGATATCCATCAAGTGGGAAACCAGTATTTCTAATTTTAGGTAAATCAATTGAAGTGCTGCAAATAATGTTAGAATTCTGTAGGATTAAGAGATAAAGGACTTCACCCAATATTGAATGTACAGTATTAAAATACACCCATATCTATAATTAGTTTTTTCATCAACAATTTTAAAAGAATTTTTATAATTTTGCTTTGACATCTATTTGGCGTTATAGAAATCTTGGAACTTATGGTTGGCTAAGATTCCATGACATTTACTATACAAACTCAAGATTCTTGTGAAGTGAGAAAAATTTTAGCCACCAATCATCAAATGCAGTATTTACGAGCACTACATTCAGGAAATATCAAAATTTACACACCAGTATGCTTTGAGAACAGTTAGATATTTTATTAATTTCAATTCTGTAGTTTCTCTCCCATAATTTGGAGTTACTTTTTGTGGCTTTAAATGTACTTAGCTCTTCAGGACTCAAGATTATCTTTGGCACTTGAGGGGACAGTAGTATCAGGCATGGGTTTAATCATCTGATGGCAACTGTGTCTAGAATTCTGTGCAGAAACTTGGGGTCATTTTAGGAAAAGTACTGAGTCTAAACTGAAACTCACAGGCTGTATCCACTTAACTAGATTTCCATTTGTTTGACATTTCCTGAGCACTGACAGTCCCCCAGGCCTCAGGGATTGAAAATAACCAGTAAGGAATGGCCTCTTTCTTAAGGTTGCCATCTAATGGGACAATCAATCCATGGGCAATTGCAACCCAAACAGACAGCCCTGGTAGGGTGAGAGCTAACAGGGCCACATGAGTAGGAGAGCAATGCCACCACAGGGAACAGGAGCGTGCTGGGTGTTACGTCTCCAGTGTGGCCTCTTTACAAGAGTAATCCAGCCCAGTCTGTGTTCTCTGCAGAGATGCTGGTGTGGAAGCAATGACATACTCATCCACTGATCAATACTTAACAATCTCCTTCTATGAGCCACAGGTTCACCTCACCACTGAAGACTTAGCATTGAACTGTTGGTAAACAATCCTGACTTTCATAGAGTGCAGACTTAGAGGAAGGAAAAGCCCCCAGAACTTCAGAAACTACAGACAAAAAGTCAAATGGTTTTACATATTCATCCAAGGAAACCAGATCTTTTCAACTCATAGACAGGAAGCCAGAACTCACAAGTGATCACATGAAAATGGCTTATAAGAAATGCTAGACGAAGAAAATTAAAATAAAAATGCTTGATAGCATAAGAAGATTTTTTATCCTACTCTGTAGTTTGAAGAAATATAGAAGTTCAGATCCTTCAAAATAGCCACTTCATGGCCAACCAGAGGCCCTGCATCCCACATTTATTCCTGTTTAGAAGACGGTTTTAACAGACAAAAGTGTGTGACAAATGCAGAGGAGCAAAATCTACATTACTAACACAGAAGCTGATTTATCAGAAACTAGATTAAAATCGCCAAACAGAAAATGGGGTGTGTGTGGGCATCTGTGTGTGTGCATGTGTGTAGGGGATTATTAGAAAACTCAGGAATGAAGGTATCTTTCTTTCAGCTTTGGGCTACAATTAGGGGGCTTCCCACAGTGAGATGGGGTTAGTGAACAGAACCCATCTTACTTTTCTCATTACTGTGACAAAATATCTGACCCAAGGTATTTAACCCAAGGGTAAAGGAGGAAAGGTTTATTTAGCTGATGGTTAGTAGAGGTTTAAGTCCATAGTTGACTCTAAGGCAGGGTTGCACATGGCAGAAAGGTGCAACAGTTCATGGCAGGGGAAGACAGCAAAAGCAATGAGAGAGAATGGACAAGCTTCTTTCTGTCCCTTATACACAGGCTACACACACTAGGTCAGGTGTGGCACTCACATCCTTAATCCTAGCATTGAACCACGAATCAATCACAAACTCTAGATTTAGCTACCCCTGAGAAGCCTAACCCCATGATTGAATGAGGCTTTGCAGGGGCATCCATACACAGACCATAACACCATCTTAGCTCCTGTCCTTTTACAGAAGAAAGAAGCAGGAAGGTTCTGAAACGCTACAGTGGGGATGGAAGGTAGATTCTGCAGGCAAGAGCAGCACCTGTGGCAGACTGAGGAGCTGCTGCTGTGGGGTGAAATCAAGCATCCTACCACATTCTGCAGACCAGGCAGTGGATGGAGGTGCACCACTGTCTAGGATCACAGGCATGCTAAAGGGAGCCTGACAAGTAAACTGCTTGGGCCTTCTCAGAAGAGCAGGACAGGACATAGGGACATCACCCACTGAGGATACAAGAAGTACCCTCGCCATCAACATTCTCAGCACCCTTTCTGATGCCCAGTAACATCCTCTATGATAATATGCTGCCTTTCACGCCAGTAATATTATGGCTACTGATTCATTTTTTGGACTCATTGATAAAAATGATCACTGATACTTAACATGTCAAACAATGAGCCAAAAAGACCTCATAGAGGTTGTACTGTTAGCCCTACTTGGGGACAGAAGAGAGCAAGGACTGCCCAATGTCATGATACACTGGGGCCACCCTGTTGCTGGCTGGCCTTGTCCCCTTGTGAAGGTAAGACAGAAGGATTGATACCCTCCCTCCATCTGCTACCTCTGCTACCCCAAGGATCTCTGCAGGACCCAACCTAGTCAGTGACCCACACTGGCAGCTCAGGTGGGCAGCAGACTGCAGTGAAGACACCACCCAGGGCAGGAGCCAGGAGCAGCGCCCGCCCACTCTGGGACCTCTGGGAGAAGGGGCAGCTTTTCATTTGCACAGGTCAGAGTTCTCCCCCAGTGCCAGAAAACCTGACAGAACCCAATTCCACAAACCAACATTGGAGGTGAAGGGCATTTCCCATTCTGTTGAAATCTCTGGGGGCCATCTTCCAAGAGGTTTTTCCCCAGAGAGATGTCCAGGAAAACCAGGGAGATTCAGCGAAGGACAGTCCAGCGGTGGGCAGTGGGAATGAGGAGGAGCTCTCACCTGGGAGACACCGTTTTTTGCCCCAGCAGCATCACAGGAAGACCCTCAGCTGGGCAGGCACCACCTGAGAGCCTGTGAGGCAGATCCAGCTCTCACAGAAAAAAGTTACTTCTGAATTTGCTTCCTCAGTTCTCCCTTGAGTTCACCCTGCCAGGCTGTGATTTTGCTCTTAGCTCTTTAGCAAAACCACCTTAAATATTCTGCTTAAAAGGACAAGCAACATCACCAGGGGTCAGATCTCTGAACAGCCAGTGCCTCCAGGCCTGGAGGGATGGCAGATTCTTCTGAGGTCCAGTGCTGCCCCCTGCCGCCTGCCGGATTCCTGTGCACTGGGAAGAGGACAGCCAGGCACAGCCAGCCAGAGAAAAAGCCAGGCCAGTTCTTGCTCCAATGCTGTGTAATCGATGGTACTTGGCAGGCATGCCTTGTGTATTCCTCCCGATAGCCCCACGGGAAGGTGATGTGTCTGCTACTCAGCAGAGGAGATGAAATCTCACAGTTTCCCTGTCTCCCCTGCAGCACACAGCCACAAGGCAGCATTGGGAGTATTTGGAAGCTTTCCCAATCAATGAAAGAGAAAGCCCAGACATGGAAGGGCACCAGAGGGCTGGGTTCAAATCCCACCTCCATTGCTTCTTTAGCTCTGTGAACTTTAGCCAAATATTGAACTTCCTTGTACCTCTGTTCTCTCATCTGCAAAATTGGGATCATATTGGCTGGGCATGGCGGCATGCTCCTAATCTCAGTGTTCTGGGAGGGTGAGGCAGGAGGACCATGAGTTTGAGCCTAAACTGTGCAACTCAGTGAGTTAACTAAGTCAAAAGAGATAGATGGATAGATAGATAGTGTAAAAGCCCTGGGTTCAATCACCAGTAGGGATAGGGATTAGGAGTAGACTGGTGTCACAGGGTTGTGGTAAGCATTTAAGGACCCAAGTCATAAAGCTGTTAGAACAGTGCCCAGCACACAGACTCCTTAGACAGACGGTACTCATGACTGTCCTACAGTGAAGGTTCTGGGCACCTGGATTCCTAGCCGTCCTTCCAAAGCTCACCCTGTCCTCCAGGTCTCATTTCCTGAAGCCACAGTTAGGGAGAAGGGCTGGGTTGGGGTCATGACAAGCCCAGAGGAGGGCTCCTCCTGAGCATGGCTGTGATCAGAGCCTTACCAGGGCCAGTCGGATTGGCCGGGTACAGTCCACCCCTACCCTGATGCCACTTTCCAACTCCAATGGGAAGCGAAGCTGACTTCCAGGGATAAGATGAGTCGGCAAGGGGAGCCACAATCTCAGAAAGGAATGAATGATCCCTCAAGGCCTTCCAGTCTTCCCATCAGCCTTCTGAAGACTAGAGTAAACCTGCAGTCCCCAAACTGGGTGCTGTGGTGCCTTGGTGTACCACTGTGAGTTCATGAGGTCCCCCGAAGCAGTTTCTTTCTTTGAGGAAAACAGCAATATCTGGCATTTTGGGGGCACCACTCAGGAAAAAAAATTCCCCAGGTTAGCTACGGGCTTCAGCCCACACTGTACTCCTTCCTTTGGTGTCCATTCTTCATGAACCAGATTTTCCACAGTCACTGTGGGAAAAGCACTTGTGGAACTCAGCTTGGAACGGAAAGAAGGATGGCAGCATCTAATCTGATTTCAAGACTTAAATAGCTGTGCAATCCCAACAGGGTCATGTGTCCCATGATAAAGGTTAAAGACAAAAATATTTTTCCTTTCGATGCATAAGCATTATTTTTTTAAATCTACTGTTCCATTGTTAGAACATAAAACACATAATATGTAGTTGGAAACTAACAATGTGATAAACCAAGCTGTAGTTATTTCTCCTGGATTTGGGGTTCTGAGAAAAACGTAACTGAGACACTAGTAAAGCA